ACTTACGGTTCGTATTGTGTTTATGCCACGTATTAGGGCTCCTAGCGTTGTCCCTATTTTTTCTTCCATGGTCTTTATTGTCTTTGAATTTATATTGAAGTCTTTGATCCATTTTGAGTTAGTTGTTGTGCATGGTGTGAGGTATGGGTCTTGTTTCAGTTTTTTGCAGATGGATATCCAGTTATGCCAGCACCATTTGTTAAAGACTGTCTTTTCCCCAATTAACAGACTTTGGGCCTTTGTCAAATATCAGCTGCTCACAGGTGGATGAATTTATGTTTGGATTCCCAATTCTGTTCTATTGGTCTATGTATCTGTTGTTTTACCATACGAATTATTTGATAGAGAGTTTATTTTGTAATGTTATTAATATTCTTATAATAAGCAAGAAAAAGATGACCACACATTGAAAAAGATGGTCAAAATATCGTATCAGGCAATTCTGTGAAGGTAGTGTAAGTGGTCAGAAAATATATAAAAATGCATCAGTGTTTCTTGCAAGTTAAAATAAATTTTTTTTTTGAAATATCAAATTGTCAATTTTGATTATTTTAATCCATAGGATCGGTGAAGCTGAGAGTGAAATGCATTTCTACCTGGGTGGTGGAAGTATGAATGTATATATTTTTGAAGGTCACTTTAGCAAAAGGCCCATGACATCAAAGTAAAACTAAAATGGTTTTAACCATGTTTGTTCTGAGGATATAATCATGGATATGTCCAAAGATATATGCGCAAAGGATAAAGTTTTGTTTACAGTAGGAAAAAAAGAAAAGGAAATAACATGAATGGCCAACAATAGTGAATGGATTAATTAATTATGCTATATTCATATCATTAATTGTATTTAATGATACTTGAAAGTCACAACATAGTGTAGTTTTAAAGCAAACAATTTCCAAAGCTACCTTACATGGAATAATTTCCACTGCCTTGATATAGTCTGTATCTGTCACGTATATACTTGTGTGCATAGTAATTAATCTGGAAGACCATAAACTAGAAATATAACGCTTAATTCTTGGCATGGAGATATTGGTTTTCTTTTATTTCCCCTGTTTCTATGTATTTTTTCAATTTATTATAAGAAGGAGTTCCTTGACCATCAACAACAACAAAAAAACTTGTATGTTTCCTGAAGAAAGAAATTGGAATATATTTTCAATGGAATCTTCTTTAAGCTTATAAATCTATGATTTGGGTGAAATTAGAGGGTTACTTAAAAATAAAAAAAATAGATTAGACTTAGCATCAAGCTGGCAGAAAGCCAGTGAAATTCAAAAGCTTAACAAATGGGTACTGAACCTGAAGTCTGGTTCTGTCTGGAGAGTCAGCAGGTCCGAGGTGTTGGTCTCTCTAACCAATGTCCTGCTGAATGAAGCCTTTCCTGAACAAAACCCATAGAGTGGGGCCTTTCACCAGAGGTCCTGTGGGAAACAGAATCACGGGAGGCACAGGGCGAGGGCGCCCACTCTGCCTGTGATGCTGTGTGGCCCTTTCGGCTGTCTCTTGACTGCTGTGTAGCAAAATTTATTGCTGTGCCTCTTTACAAAATGAACAACAGGAGAAGCCTGACCCATCTCTTCCCGGGCGTATACACAGTGTTCTTCAAGCCCTCCTGCAACCTAAAGTTAAACATCTCTATACATACTCAGAAACCCTGGTGGTGTAGTGGTTAAGAGCTATGGCTGCTAACCAAAAGGTCGGCAGTTGAAATCCACCAGGTGCTCCTTGGAAACCCTATAGGGCAGTTCTACTCTGTCCTATAGGGTCTCTGAGTCAGAATCGACTCGATGGCCACAGGTTTTGTTTTGTTTTTTTTTGTATACATACTTACTCACACCGGACCAGATAATCAGGACCGCATGGATTTCTTTGTTGTTGTTGTTCTTAGGTGCCATCGAGTGGGTTCCGACTCAGCATGAGTCAACATGTGCAACGGAACGGAACACTGCCCGATCCTGCGCCAGACTCACAATCTTGTTAGGCTTGAGCCCATTGTTGGGGCCACTGTGTCAGTCCATCTCGTTTGAGGGTCTGTCTCTTTTTCAATGACGGTCCCCTTTACCAAGCATGATGTCCTTCTCCAGGGACTGGTCCCTTCTGATAACATGTCCAAAGTATGCGAGACAAAGTCTCACCATTCTTACTTCTGAGGAGCATTATGGCTGTACTTCTTCCAACACAGATTTGTTCATTCTTCTGGCAGTCCATGGTATATTCAGTATTCTTCGCCAGCCATAATTCGAAGGCATCAATTCTTCTTCGATCTTCCTTATTCTTTGTCCAGCTTTCACATGCATGTGAGGTGATTGAAAACACCATGGCTTGGGTCAGTCACACCTTAGTCCTTAAAGTGACATCTTTGCTTTTTAACACTTTAAAAAAGAGGTCCTTTGCAGGAGATTTGCCCAATGCAATACATCATTTGATTTCCTGACTGGAGCTTGCATGGGTGTTGATTGTGGATCCAAGTAAAATGAAATCCTTGACAACTTCAATCTTTTCTCCATTTATCATGATGTTGCTTATTGGTCCAGTTGTAAGGATTTTTGTTTTCTGTATGTTGAGGTATAATCCATAGTGAAGCCTGTGGTCTTTGATCTGCATCAGTAAGTGCTTCAAGTCCTCTTCACTCTCAGCAAGCAAGGTTGTGTCATTTGTGTATTGCAGGTTGTTAATGAATCTTCCTCCAATCCTGATGCCACATTCTTCTTCATATAGTCCAGTTTCTCGGATTATTTGCTCAGCTATTTCTTCTCATTTTGAGTTGTGCCACATCAGCAAGTAAACTTCCTGAAAGCTTGACTCCATCCACGTCATTAAGGCCAGCTCTACTTGAGGAGGCAGCTCTTCCCCACCTGTATTCTGAGAGCCTTCCAGCCTGAGGGCTCATCTTCAGGCTCTACGTCAGACAGTGTCGCACTGCTATTCATAAGGTTTTCACTGGCTAATTTTTTCAGAAGTAGATGGCCAGGCCCTTCCTCCTAGTCTATCTTAGTCTGGAAGCTCAGCTGAAACTTGTCTATCGGGGTGACCTTGCTGGTATATGAAATACTGGTGGCAGATCTTCCAGGATCACGGCAACACACAAGTCACCACAGTATGACAAACTGACAGACACGTGCTGGATGGATTTCTTTAGTAGTTGAAATTGTGGTGGCATAGTTGAGGTTACTCTGAGTTCCAAACATCTAATTTAGACCTAATTTTTACCAGCTCCATGTAGCAGAGAGGAGCCCTGGTGGCGCAGTGGTGAAGTGTTTGACTGTGAACCGAAAGGTTGGCAGTTGGAATCCACCAGCGGCCCCTTGGAAACCCTATGGGGCAGCTCCAGTCTGTGCTAGAGGGTCGCTGTGCGTTGGCATGGCAGCGGGTTTTTTGTGTGTTAACAGAGAGAGATGTCCAGGCCATGCTGCGGCATTTGTTTGTCTTGATTGGAGCACCTGGGTGATTGTGACCTCCTCTCTTTGGGTGTGGCTTGACTTGGAGCAGGCTGAGGTCTTTCCCTCCTAATCCCATAATATCTTTATCCTACTTTTTGAAATGGCAGCTGACCTTTCTCAGTTTTAGTGAAGTCTTTTGTAAACGCAGCCACAAGAGAAAGGCCCTAGGTTCCCCTTGGATTGGGGTCATTTTGCTCTTTCTGTCCCTGGACTGAGGAGGATTCGGTGGGGGACAAGCTGTCACATGTCTTTTGTTGTGAAGTGTGGAGACCTGTTTTAGAAGAGAGGATTTCCAGGTGAATGGTACCCAGATGTATGGTTCATTATTTGATTTCTGTATTAATTTAGGGAATAATTGCTGCTGTAATGGATAAACAATGAAATTTTAGTTACTTATTAAAAGAGTAATTTATTTTTGTTTCCACTTGAAGTTGAGATGGGTGTTCTTCAGCAGACCGGTGTCTTCCAGGCACGATTTAGAGTCTCACTCAGGCTTCTCCTCCCATCTTGTGGCTGCCCTGTCTTTGTTCTATGGCGGCTCCGTTGCTGGCTTCCAGAGAGCCTGGAAACTGTGCACAAGTGCTTTTTCTATGGGCCAGTCCTCAGAATGGTCCACAGCTCTTCTGCTCACCAGGCATTGGGTAGAACTTAGTTAAATGGCCACACCCAGCTGGAAGAGGGCTGGGAATGTAGTATAGCTGTGGACCAGGAAGGGGAAGCAAGATTGTGGTGGTTACCTCGCCAGTTTCTGTCTCGGTTGCCAAATTCAAACAGGAAAAAAATAGAAGATCAAAGTAAGAGAAGAAACACTGAGGGCTGGGAGCCAAGAATATCCAGATCTGAATTCTAAAAAAATGACACCAGTGAGAGGCCTGTAGTAATCCCCTGAGCTGGAGCATAAGTGTTCCAACAGGCCTTTGACTAGAGCTTCCTATCCTGGTTATAGGTGTGGTAGGGAACAGTTAAATGAACCAACAATAAGTTCTAATTAAAAAAAAAACAAAACAACTTCACTGGCAGACCCCAAGTGCAAGCAATAATGAGTCATCACTTAATGTGAGAATATTTTCCTTTGTGACGTCAACACCCAGCTGGAGTACTCACTTTTAACCGTAATTTTAAATCCTTGATCTTAAAATTTGTCACAGACTATTCTATAGACTTTGAATTTGCACAGATATGATGTAAAAATTCTTTGGTCTCTATGTTGGAAGAAAACAATAATTTTAATGCAATAAAAGTAACTCCTTAATAGTTCTTAGACATTTCCAAATACTAGCTATTAACATCTGTGTAATATTTTATAATTTTTACATTTCACATTTTAATTTGCACAGATAATTTATTTGAGAAGTGTTTAGTAGTTTTGGACCTTTTAAGACAGCTATGGTATAAAATATGGTTTCTTTTTTTTTAATGGGAATTTGAAAAAAGAAGTATTGATTCTGTATCTGTTTATCGAATGTGCTTTCTTAGCCCAAAGTCATGTGATCAGAACATCCAGTGTTTTTCACGTTTCCTGTTTGCCTTCTTTCCAGGAGAAAAGTTGAAATCATGCACACGCATAGTCTCTTCACCCTTCTTGGAGAAAGGCTGATGTTGCATACCAACACTGTGACCGTCACCACATACAACACGCTCTATGAGGTAAGAGAGTACAGGATGTCAGTTTAAAAGGACCCGATGGAAGCCCTCTTAATCTATGTGGTTGGTCAGTTAATCTGAAAAGATGGTTAAAACTGGAAATCACAAAAAAATAGAGCATATACCTTATACTTTCCAGTTTAATTTAAAACATATCCATGTACAATATGCTAATCTTTTGATACTGATTTGAGTGTGGGTTGGTCAGTTTTACATAACAGGCATCAGTGGGCTTGGGAACAAACACAGTGACCCTTGGTACAGATTTACCTCATTTGGTGGCCGTCTGCTCCTGGAAAGATGACAGCCTGGGAAACCCTATGGGGCAGTTCTCCTCTGTCACACGGGGTCACTATGAGTGTGAATCAACTCGACGGCACGTTACCACAGCGACGATGGATGATGGCTTTGAGCATCTTTTCATGTGCTTGTCGGCCATTTGAATATCCTCCTCAGTGAAATGTCAGTTCAAGTCTTCTGCCCACTTTTTGATTGTGTTGTTTGTCTTTTTGTTGCTCAGTTTCAGAAGTATCTTATAAAGTTTGGATATTAGACTGTGACTGGATACACGGTTCCCAAAACTTTCTTCCACTTTGTAGGCTGTCTTTTCACTTTTTTGTTAAAGTCTTTTGATGAACAGAAATGTTTAATTTTTATGGGGCTCATTTTGCTGCTTGTACTTTTGTTGTCATATCGTTTAGTCCATCACAGAAACCCAGGTGTCACAGCTTCATCCGTACATTTTCTTGTATGAATTTTATGGTTTTAGTTTTCAGATTAAAGTCTTGATCCATCTTGAACTGGTTTTTGTGTGTGGTGTGAGGGATGGATCATGGTTCATTGTTCTGCTTGTGGATATCCGATTTTGCCAGCATCATTTGCTGAAGAGACTCTTCTTTCCCCTTTAGATGAATGTAGCACCCTTGTCGAAAATCAGTTGACCTTAGATGTATGGATTCCCTCTTTCTTTTTTTTTTAATTGTACTTTAGATGAAGATTTACAGAGCAAATTAGTTTCTCATTAAACAATTAATACACATATTGTTTTGTGACACTGGTTGCCAACCCCACTATGTGTCAATACTCTCCCCTTCTAGACCTTGGGTTCCCCATTACCAGCTTTCCTGTCCCCTCCTGCCTTCTCGTCCTTGTCCCTGGGCTGGTGTTTCCATTTAGTTTTGTTTCGTTTTATGGGCCTGTCTAATCTTTGGCTGAAGGGTGAACCTCAGGAGTGACTTCATTACTGAGCTAAAAGGTGTCCAGGGGCCATACTCTTGGGGTGGATTCCCTGTTTCTTAAAAACACTTGTTTATTCCATACTTTTTTAGAGTGCAGTGAAAATATGAATTATCTCTCACAAATTCTTCTTTAGCCTCATCTCTGGTATTTCTTATGTGTGTCTTATTTTCCAGTTATATTAGACTGCCGTCTACAAACACAAACATTTTTAGACATACTTTTCTTCTCCTTCCATGCATAGGTTTCTTCCGTGCATAGTTGTCAGCCTGCTTGTTCACACCCTGAAGAGAGTTAATTCCTTCTGCTGCTCTGTCACTAAAGTCGCATGGGCTAGACTTAAATCCTATAGCATAAGGACTGTGTCATAGTGATCTTTAAAACTCTAAGGTGAAGAGATGCATGTAATATAGTAAATACTCAAAAAATATTTAAAAAAATGTCAAACAACATTGTATGACTTAGAAAGATGTAAAGTCTATTTGAATCTCACTGAAAATGAAATAAATTAAGGAAACATCCCTGTCTCCTAGTTTTCTGAGATGAATTCATAGGCTTCTTAGGTCATACACTAAGATGTGATTTGGCTGTAATTAACCCCTCTTTGAAATTACTCAAAGCTATTTTTATACAAATATTTTTTGATAATTGTAATATTTGCAAATTTAAGTCTTAAATTTTATTTGCTTTTTTGTTGCTACTCCGTCTCTAAATTACATTGTCTTTTATTAATGATTTGTACCATTCCCTAATACACTTAAAAATTATTTGCTAATTTTTGAAATATGTCTTGTAAAGACAGAATAGCTGGATTTTTAGGTTTCATATGCTTGTAGATCTCCACAACATGATCTGATTAATTACTTTATTAAATATTATTATATTGTTTTCCTTTATAGGTTAAGGCTGCTATCCTTGTTACATCCTATTCGTGTAATTCAGATAAATGCGTAGTGTAGACAGAGGCAGCCAGGTAGGAAATTACAACATGACATGATCAGATTCTTATAGAAATAATTAACTGATTTAAAGAAAAAATGCATTTTTTACTTACTTTAACTTTTTCTGTAAGAGTATAACAATTTCTGAGGACAAATTATTTTATAAAGTGGTAGTCAACTTTAAAACTTCAAATGACTCATTAAAATAAAACTCTTTTCTCAAAATTATAGAATCTCAGATGTGGACGGTCTGTTAGATGTCATGTTATTCAAACATTCATTCATTCCACCAACAAAGAGACTAAGAATCAAAAACTTAAGGTCCCTTGCCGAAACTATAAGGGTTCTCTGATCCCTGAATACTTCTAGCTAACTTAATAGCATGGCCGATGGTTTGCCACTTTTAAGAATGAACTAGTACCACTCTTATCTCAAAAGTTGAGCCTATTGATACATAAAGATTTATACATGAAGTGGCAGCAGAGTAGGTGAGGCAGAAAGGAAGCTTCATCTGAGATATGATTATACCTCCAGCAGCCCCCTTAAGCCTAAGGTCTTTCTGTGACCCATGAATTACAAAATAATTCCATTACAAAATGAGTGTCTGACCTATGCTTTAAATGTGCGGAGCTGGGCTCCGGTCTGTGTCATGTCTATAAACAGCATATTTATCACATTACCTCCATGCCTACAACTCACTGTTGTTTCCCTGCCTGGTCCAGCAAGCTCTTAAAACGTGGCTGCTGTGAACCGAGATGTGCTGTAAACATTAACCACACACACGATTTGTGTCGGTATCTGGCTCCAAGTCCTCGGTAAAGTTTTGTTTGTTGGGAAGTGAGGTTGACCTATACCTATGTCTGACCAGTGCTGCTCTGCCCTTATTAATATCTCACTCCCCTTCTCTCCCCTTTCCAATCTCACGGAGGCTCAGTGACAGCCCACCACGCTTTGTGCTTCACAGGGCATGTATTTGTGCCTGTCTCCCCAACACAGATGAAGTAAACGACCCTACAAAGGTAGCCCCACATGTCAACTGGATTTCCCATCTCCTGACATTTAGCCCAGTGTGGGCACATAACTGGGTCTTCATAAATGCATGCTGAATTAAGTTTCTAAATTTATTTTTATAATAAAAAAGATTCGAATAATAGCTTATAGTTTGCAAAGCACTTTCATGTATACTTGCTTGTTCAACCGTTCTGCCTGCTTTGTTAGCAGGCAAGGCAGTCATTACTGTCGTTGGTGGACGGTGAAATAGACACCGAGCAGCACGAAACTGGCAAGGCTTTGGAGGAAGTGTTGTCCCCTGTACAAGGCATTGCCTCTGTTTTGGTTGAGGAAGGTTTGACTAGTTTCCGTCATGGAAGAGTACGGCCTGGTTTTCTCCTAGCTTCTCTGCAGTTATTTTGAATCTCTTGGTTGTAACCATATTTTTCTGGGATCTTATTCACGAGGGTGTAGGTTACACACCAGGCCTTTTGGGCAGATTGGTGTGAAAACCCCTTGTAGTCATATACCAGCCACTTAGACTGTTCTGTGGTGTGTGGTTTCCACAGAGAGTTCATCCGCTGTGCCATCCACGTGTGATTAGCGGTGGATGTCGCGAGGGCTCTGTTCAGATGCTCAGAGGCACCGTTTGGTTAAACAGTGAAGTGTTCTGTTTCGGCGACGCATGGGGTGAGGGGACTAGTGGCACTCGTGCCTCATGCTTGTCGTTTTAGTGGTAATAAGTCAGCTTTTATTTCTGTCATAACCTTTTGGTGTACATCCCTAATACACCTATGCTAATTTCCCATCTCTCTTTTTTTTTGTCTGACCAGAAAGGGAAGAAAATGCCACTTTGGGATGATATCATGATCCCTTTTTACTCAGGAGGAACCAATCTGTCTCTGAACTGATTGGCTCTCTTACACTGCTGTGACAGCAGAGCAGTGTAAGGTGGTCCCTGAATGGACTTTGAGCATTGCCCTGCTGGGTTTGTACCTGGCGTCAGGGTGAACTGTTCTAAAGGACCATTAAGAACCTAACAGGTTAAAACTAAACAGGAAATTAAATCACTGAAATGAATTGATGTCTTCATAAATATAACAACATTGGATTTTACGTATATGAAAGAATAAGGTTCCCACAGGCTAAAATAGAGTGAGCAGTCAAATATACGTTATTTACATATAGTTCAGTTGTTCATTCTTTCA